TATATATATATATATATATACAAATAAAGTAATAGTGACGTTTTGCAAAAACAGTGCAAAGAATGAATAATGTCTATTGTTTATTATTTCATTAAAACAAGACTTCAAATACTTATTGCACCTATAAAAAAGATTTAAAAATCAAAGTCTGAGGTTAAAACATGGCAAACCACCTAAAAAAGACTGATAAATAATATTGCCTTCAATGTTAAGACGTCAGATGAAAAATTCATGAAGAATATTACGGACCTGTTTAGTGAGTTAATATATTTTCAATAAGTTTGTTGAAACACTTATTAATTAATTACCAATGTTTTCAGTTATTTGTTTATGTTACCTACTTGGGGATTGGGTGTTTAAAACATGATGTTTAAGATTACAGTATGACATCTCACAATAATTTATCATTTTAAATATATTAAGTGAACCGCAGAACCAAAGAGCTACTTGCGGCCCTTCACTGAATTGAGAGTAATTTCCACGTCATTTAGGTTAATTAGTATTTTTTGTCATTCCAATTGTAAATTTGTTTTTTTGGCTTACAAATGTTTAACTTTATCTAAAATGAATTTTGTTTTACAATGGGAAAAAAGTAACTGCAATAATTAGTTGCTAAATGAATATGTACGAAAAGATAAAACAGAGATTTTTATTTTTATTTTATTTTAACTCAATCGACATTCATAACTTAAGAAATTACATATTTTTAACTTATTTCAACCACAATTACCAGTTTTAATATAATGAGAATGACGCTAAGTTCCCACCGCACAAAAGACCTCGTGCTGCTTTATTTTTGAAGCTTGTACACACTGAGGTCAGACGCGCTTCATGAGCATCTTTTTACGCTCCTGAAGTGCATCCATCTGATGCTTGTGCTGCTCCTGTGTTCAATGGCAGAGAGTGACTTTGCTGTATTTGCTATTATAAGCTGGTAAAAGGTAGTTTCAATATATTTTTAAGTGAGAAAGTCCTACTCAAAACATCGTCTGTGCAGTCAGTTCACCAAGATTACGATCCTGCCATAAAATATTACTTTGCTGTAGGAGTTGCTCAGACTCCCACATACCAACGGTGTCATTGAGAATTCCCAGCAACAACTAGGGGGTTTTCCACTACTATTCTTCGCAGCTGGAAGTAAATATTAGCATTTTATGATAAAAGCGAACATATTTTCCGGCAAGATATTTTAAGTTAATTTAGGTGTTGATAAACCCCCAGATCAGCTTCTCTGATTGGTTGATGTGGCGCATCGAGCAGCAAAAGTAAAATTTGTCCAACTCAAGCTGCTGCTGCTTGTGAAGCGCGTCACGCTCTGAAGTTCAGGAGCTGCTTTGCCTGCTCAGATGCGTCAAGATACGCTGCTGTAGATGAGCTGCAGGACCTTTCCATGTGCGTCAACCATTGACTTTGCATGTAAAACAGCTGCTTCAGTTACGTGCAGTGTGAAAGTAGAATTAGAGCTTATGTAAAACGGATCAATTCAGCTGTAACAAAGGTTAGTATGATTTAAGAAGCTGGTTCAAAATAACAATTAGCAGATGAAAACCGTGATCCTGTCTCAATATGACTGAAGCTTTCACCTTAATTTTACCATTTCAGAGAAAAACCTGAGATGGGAACCACCTGATCCATCCATCCCTCCATCCACACATCCATCCACACATCCATCCATCCATCCATCCATCCATCCATCCATCCATCCATCCATCCAT